CACTCCCCCGGCCCCTCCTTGGTAAATTTCTTTGTCTAAATCGGAAATAGAAATAGAAATTATTCCTTCCCTTCGGAAGGTTTTTACTACCTTTCTATCTAAGTCGGAATTCGCTTTGCCCACTCAGCCCTGATTTGAAAGAAAACTATCAAGTTTGGTTCCACCGACTCTAACTAACGCCAACTGTGTAGGATAGATTTATACAGTAGGCGTTGGCTCTAATTTCTAATCTTGACACCATGCCGCCGGGCGAGAACAGGGTGTAGGGGTGCAATTTGGGGTGCAGTGGGTAGGGTGGAGTGGGTGTGAAATCTCACTAATGCCCGCGAAAGTGCTCCAGTGGCGTTCCAGCATAGACACTTTCCTGGGTAGCCAGAAGCTAGAGGTGTGAAATTAGTTTGACTAATGCCTGCCGCCCTGAGTGACTGTAAAGCCAGCCGAGAAAAGAGCTCCTTGAATCGTTGTTACATGGCAGTGAGGAGTGGTATTGGTTGACGGTGTTTGTTGCACCTTTTGGTGGGGCTAAGGCTGGAAGAAAAGGAGATGCTAAACTGTTGCTGTTTTTTTATAGGTCAAACAGTGGTCCTATGAAATGCAAGCACTGGTGATAATTGGATTGATTAAGTCTGACACATGTCATTATCAGAGAGGATAGTTCTTGAGAGGTGTGAAGTTTTTACCACTGTTTGAAGATCAGACAAGCGACCCTTGACCCCACAGGCTGGGCTTCAAATAACGAACCAAACAACAAATCAACCAACCAACTAACTAACCAACCAACCAACCAACTAACCAACCAACCAACCGACCAACATACCAACCGACTAACCAAACAAACAAACAAACAACAAAACAATCAAATAAACAACAAAACAATAAAATAAACAACAAAACAATCAAATAAACAACAAACCAACCAAACAAACAAATAACCAACCAACCAACCAATGAAACAAACCACTGTTCCCCGCCCGTCCACTCCCCAAGCACTAACATCGGTGGTGTAGAGGTTAGGCTCTTTGCCTTCGCACGCAGCAAATCAGAGATTGCTTCCCCAGTGGTCTCAGTCAGTCTGCTGGGATGTTGTATCCCTCTCAGCCCGAGTTGGCCCAGACAGGCAGGGTTGGAGCCCGCTTCCTAAATGATTTAAATTGTGTCGATGGGGGCATAAAAACACCTACATAAAAAATCCCTAACAAACAAACAACTCTCCCCTAAAAACAC